GTGTTTGAGTATGTATGTACATGTGCGCGCGCGCGCGCGCGTGTGTGTGTGTGTGTGAGTGTATGTGTTTGTGTGTGTGTTTGAATATGTATGTACGTGTGCGTGTGTGTGTATGTGTGTGTGTGTGTGTGTGTGTGTGTGTGTGTATGTGTTTATGTGTGTGTGTGTCAGTGTGTGTATGTGTGTATGTGTGTTTGCGTGTATGTATGTGTATGTGTTTGTGTGTGCATACGTGTTAGTGTACATTTAGTGGTTTGAGCATAGAAACTGCAGTCAATAATTCCAATTTCAGATACTTTTTCCTAAGCCTTTATTAATAACCGTTTTCTTACTATACTCTTTCCGGTTTCAGCGTATTTCAAACTGTGCAGATACCGTTTTCTTTACACTAAACCTATTTTTTAATACTTTGGATATGTGTAAATGTAGATCTATTTGCTTTCACCTCATTAGTCCGTTGCCAAACCGTCAATGCTAATTTAATAGTAAAATAAAATGATAATTAGCATTTGTATAGCGCTATTCCCGCTAGTAACACGTGCCGACACATTTTATAACAAAAAATGCGGCTTGTTCGAATAGTTGCAAGGCGTCAGGATCGTTATTGGTAAAGTCGATGGATTGATTCCCAGCGCAACACAGCAAGGCGACGGAACATTGATAGAGTAGAATTGAATAAAATAATATGCGTTTGGACACGTATTTTTTAAAAATCTAGAAAATGGCCGCAAATGTTGATGTCTTCCAAAGCTGCAGTGTCCTTGAAACCTACAAATCTACATTTTTGTGCCATTGTTCAACGGTTTTTTTTCCAGTTTAACCCATACATGCCGGAATGTGTTTTAAAGTAAAACATAAAAACGCGTCGCGGCCAAAACGCCCCCAAAAATTGCCAAACGGATGGGAAAATATTGATTTTCTTTGATTTAGATCATCTAATAAATTAATTTCACTAGTACCTGATTTCACCACGATGCCTCTCAAATGGATTCGACAACAATCCAGAGAATAAATGTTGTTTTTTTTTAAGGAAGAAGAAGAGAACTGTAACCTAGCTGCTTTTGCTCAGGGTCCAGAACCCATCTTGTGGCGCGTTTCAATCCGGATATTCTTCGCTTTACGTGTAAAAAACCCATTGACTACAGAATGAACATTAATCAACGTGATGGGGAAAATGGAAAAGAGATAGTATGAAAATCCCCTTGTGGGAGGACAAGGATCTCGTGTTTGTTTGGATTTTTTACCCTGTTTACTAATTTATGTCTCTTTGTGTTCCGCCTGACTTTCCTGTTCTTTAGTTCGAGACTATTCAAGATTTCAAGTTCCAGACGAGTCAAGTAAATACGACCTTTTCAGATCGAGATTGGCGTCGGAAAAGTAGAATGGTAGTAATCTTTTACATTTACTCGGAGTTTTCAGACAATGTATTGTTACCGGAAAGAGAATCTATGTTCTTGGTGAATAAGTACTAAGTACGCGGCCAGGACG